AATTGTATAAAGTAAGACAAATTTTTCTACAGGATAGGAAATTTTAAGGATTATTTTTAGTTAACTTTGAACATGCCTGTATTTAATTCTTTTAAACCTTTGATTAAGTAAGAGATAAATTACTACTCATTATAAAGATTGTGAGTGGTTAGTTCAACTTAATTCTTAATGTATTAATATTTGGTTTAATAGAAATTTATATTTAAGAGAAAAACAAATTTTTCAACAGGATGTGATAAAAAAAGCGTCAATCTCTTGTTAACTCTTAACCTATAAACCTTAATTTTTTCAAAGAATTTAAAATAAAAGAAGCAAATTGCTATGTAGTCTGAAAAATAAGTGTTATTAGTTTTAGTTTAATTTTAATGTAATGTTATTTAATTGCGAAAAATATTACGTCAAAATAAATTATCTTATTGTTTTGATAAATAATTTCCTAAAAACCATTCTGGAAGTTAACACAAATTTTTCAAAAGAATATAAAAATTTAAGTATTACTTTTAGTTAAATTTGAGCATGTATGTATTTAATTTTTTTAAAACTTTGCATAAGAAAGAAGTGAATTGGCACACATGATAAAGAATATGAGCATTTAATTCGTAATAATTCTTAATGTGTTGACATTTATTAAATTATTTGGTTAAAATTTATAGTTAAGAGAAAGCAAATTGTTCAACAAGATGTGTTTAGTAAGCGTCCATTTCTTGTTAACTATCAACGCTTAATTGTTTCAAAGATTTTTAAACGGAAAAGACAAATTGCTTGTGCAGATTGAAATGCAAGAGTTATTAGTTTCAGTTAACTTCTAATGTGTTTTAAGTGTTAAAATCATCAGGTATAAATAAGTTGTTTGATAAGATGGGAAAACTAATCAGGTAATTCTAGTAATACCTTATTGTGTCTATAATTATTTATTAATTAAAATTATTTATGGTGAAACAAGGTTTTTGTAAAGAATAGTAAATTTGAAGTATTCAGTTTAGTTAACTTTTAATGTGATTAATTTTTGTAAAATGTATCTAATTTCACAACTTTGCATAAGGAAGAGTAAAATACATATGCAGGATGGGAAATATGCCTGGCAAATAACTCTTAATACTTGGATAATTCAGTGTTTAAATATTTATATTTTAGTGGAAAAAAAATTGTTCAGTAAAGTGAGATACATGAACGATAATTTATAGTTAATTCTTAATGTACATATTTAATTTTTTCAAAAATTGCATAAGGAGGAGATAAACTACTGTACAAGAATTGATTAATTCTAATTAAATCTCATTGTGTCAATAGTTTATTATATAAAATAGACTATTTATGGAATGATAAATTGCTTTATTGAATAGAGAATTATTGAATGATTAATTCTAGTTTACCTTAATGTGTCTACATTTAACTGGTTGAACATTCATTATGAAAGTAAAGATAAAAGTTTCTGCACAGTTTGAATTATTTGATAACCGAAAAATTTTAGCACTCTCTTTTTTAGTGGAAAATTAATTATTGAAATAATTTTTGCAATATAATATTAATTATGAAACAATATGGAAGATAGAATATGAAAAAAGCGTGCATGATTTATTTTAATAAACTTTTATTGCTAAAATAACTTTATATAAATACTTTATATAAATATTTAATGAATCAAATGCAATAAAGAGAAGACAAATTACTTTCTGGGATTTATAAAAAAGGAATTAATGATAGGTACAATAGTGACATTTTTAAATTCTATATAAAGAAAATAATAAATGATTCATTATTTCAGTAAATTGCATCTCGATGTGCTGCATCCTGATAAACAAAGAATAAATAATGAAATAAAAGATAAATAGTTTGTTCTCCGAATTATACTGTTTTAAATGAAAAAGTGTTTAGTCAAACTAAACTCAATGTCTGTAATAGAATGCATTAATTAAAATAATAATAAAATGTATTTTGCTTATTGTTACTGATGACAATATAAAAAGAAATTCATAATTTACTGTGATAGAATATGGAAGATGGAGAATATAGAAGATGGAATATGTAAAAATAGTTTATTAAGAGTAATTCGATACCATTAATCAAAATGCTTTAAACTTAGCTAAAACTTTGTGAGTTAATTAAAAAAATGGATATAAGGAACTAATTTAGTTTAGGTATTTAAACCCTCAAGTATTAATTAATGGAAATTGAATGGTGTAGACAGAAAATCATTTGATTTTTAGTGTTCTCGTGATTAATACTCAAATGCCGCTTCAGGGGTAATTGTTTCGACTTGCATTTTTTTAGCTTTTACAAGATGGTTGAAAATATTGTCTTTCAAATAATGCAATGTTTTGTTGTTAGTTTAACGATAACAAGGAGTAATTAATAAATGAACGAAGTGAGCATCTTGAAACTTTTTTTTCGAAATAAAATATAATATAATGCAATAAAAAATATAAGAAAAAATAATAAAATAAAAATAAAAATAAAAATCGCGTTAAATGTTTGTAAAATATGATAGATAAAATATAATAGATAAAATGTAATATAAAATTTTCGCAGCTTTAATTATCAGTATAGATAAAAGATGTATCGTAATACTTTTTAAATTAAATTATGATAACCAGATACAGTAACATATTTTACAAGAAAATGTATCCAATGTAATAGAAAAACAATTTTTATTTAACTATTTAACCAACTTGTCGTATATCTATTATATTAACACGATACGATAATATAATAAATTTTGCCTGAAAATGCTCCCGTACTAACGACATGATAATGCCCTCCTGCCCTTGATGAAGCTGCAATGTTGGCAGTGCATCTATTTTAATTTTTGTCCCTGCTTTCGCTCTTTCAATTTGTAGATATTCTTCATTTGTGTCGTGTTTATGCTTTTATGCTGTTTGGATCATTCTGGATTTCATGTTATTGCTTCCTTTTGAATTATTTCAACTTTAATGTTAACTATCGGATTTATGACATTAATTTATATTTTCTTCAAATATTCTTGCAGTTCTAACTAAGCAGATTTGTGCTGTTGTAACGTGGATTTTATTATTTTATTTAGTTGTTTATTATGTTGCTTTATGTATTTTAAAATGTGTGTATATATATATATATATATATATTGCGTAAAATTCTATGAAAAAGAAATTGGTTGTAAAGCAGGTGTTCAATTTAATTTTCTAAATTGTGTATTAGCAGACCTCACCACTTCTATAATAACTTTTTTATTTTTAGGATTTGTTNTTATATATATATATAAAAGGAAAAAGTATTTTAACAAAAAGATATGCCTGAGTGCTAATTTTCAAAAGCATTTGCAAGTAATAAATTATTTATACACGATGCTTAACGATATTTAAATACGATTTATACTAAACGCGAACAAATGGCAGATTATCGCTGTCTTGCCTTTTAGTAATAATTTCCCTTTATTTTTAAGAATAATCTTATTCAAATAATTTTTTATGATGTTTAGTACTTTTTTTATTCATCTTTTTTAAAATATTTCATTTATAACCATGTCACTTCTCGTATGTTTAAATTAAACCACTTTTTTTTCTTTATTTTTATGTGCAAACAAAAATGAAAAGTGAGAATAACAAATATTTTTGAATTAAATGTCGCATAAAAAAGGTGTTCCTTTTTAATTTTAGGCCCATTTTCGTTTGTTCATGAATATTCGATTAATTTGATTTAAATATTACCAAGTCGAGGAATTTTCATTTTCTCTTAGGAATAGGCAGGTTTAAAAGTTACACACGAGATGTTTTCCTTTGAATTTTTTGTGAACTTACTATATTTAATTAATGTTACTTTTCGTTGTTTTCCTTTTTTAAAAATACTTAGTTAGTATAAATACAAGTTCTTACTATAATTTTTTAACATTAAAGGATCTTTTATTATTCTAAAATAAACAATTTAACAATAAATCTTTGTATCAGAAACGATATTAATGAGGAAAAGAAAAGCACAAATTCATAATTTTTTTGCGTTTTATTTTAATATATTTTATTTTAACACCGGCATTAGGTAGTCTATATCAGTTTTAGAGTTATAATTTCTTAACTTCGTAGCCAATTAATTTCTGAAAGTAGCCTTGTAATTTTACAACAGAAGTCCTTGATCAAACGTAGAGAAAACTTGCCATCATGGACCTTTCGATCCTATATTTGCGTTACATATTGAGGGAAACCTCAAAAACTTCTTACTTTTAGACCATTTAAGTGAAAATTCTAACAAGCAATCCATCTATTACTTGGGATATTTAACATGAGCAATATGTTTGGTTTGAGTCAAGAGCAGAATACGTTGTAAAAAATCTCGGATCAAATTACTCTAAAAAGAACCAAACACTTAAGGTGCCGGTACTTTTTACAGTAAAATCTATTTTTTCTGAAATATGTTACAAAACAAAAAAATATGATATACCATATTTTTTACAGTGAAATTCATCGTGAAATCACTGAATTAGTCTAATTCAATAAATATTACGGTAAAAACTAAGGTATAATATTTTACGATAAAAATTGATTTTACGGATGATGCACCCAAAGTACCGATACTTTATTCTGTAATTTAATCCTGAATTTTTTACAGCTTATGTTTTTATCAGCCTTTTCTAGAATTTGAACCTGGATCGCCTCATTTTTCCACGATTCTTTTATCCACTGGGTAATTCTGGCACAAACTTTTTACGTTGTATTTCTTGCCTTTAGCTTAATCCTTAGATAAACTGATTTTGAAGATTTTAATTTCTTTCCTGCTTTGATCTACTTTTAAGCTTTTTTTTGGCATAAGCATGATATTTTACATTCTAAAGGCTCTGCATTTAGATGAAGATAATTTCGACTTTTATTAAATTTTATCATGACGTTCTACACGTTTTTTTGTGTGGATAAAATGTAATAAAATTAAATAAATGCACAGAAATGATTCAAAATCACATATAGTTTTAATTAAACTTTAAACATGAATAAAACATCCATTTATACAAAACAAGTTAAAAATACACAATAAAGAGCAATACAAATAAAAGTACCACACATATATCTGAATGTAAAGTTTTTATTCCGTTTCTCAATTCCAAGACTATGTCTGGCACAGGTCTACTGATGAGGAGTTCTTCACTCACTGAGGTAACAACATCAGCAATCGAGGCAGTACAAGTTAATCGTATGTCTCCTGGAGGCAGATGCTGTGATGTTAATGGTATATTGATGGATGAAGATGATGACTCCAGCTGATCTGGGTGGCGTATAACTTGTGCGTGACCTATTAACTCAGAATCCATCTGTAATTGATGATAAAACTACAATCATGTCTTTAAATACGGAAATATTTCAGGTGCTAGAAATGTAGAATCGAGACGCGAGAATCGCTTTTAATACATTGATATTGTAAGAAGAGTGCTAAAAAGGCAAAGTAAAAATCAATGAAATACGAAGGTAGTTCGTTAAGTCTCAAGGAAGGAATAAAACATTTTGTATAATCTTCCAAACAGGCAACTTTTTGGGTTATGATTTCGTTGCTCAAACGAAAGTGTATTTCATATTTTCTTTTTCGGTTAACCAGTATTTCCGCCTGTTCATTGTGTTGAATCGAAATTCTATACACTAAAAATTATACATGATCAATTCTTTCAGGGCAACAACCATTATTTTACAATTAAGAAAACTTATCGTAGGCACGAGCAACTAGCTCTGTCGGATAGAGCTTGGTGCGAATAATGCAAAGGTCGTGCGTTCGTCTTCCCCCTGAGACAGTGTTGCAATTGTAATCAAGGTTCATAACTTACGACAGAGTTAGTTTGTAATTGTGGTTAATCTATGCGATATTTTGCGGATGATTTGACCGCTTCCTTTACCAATTTGTTTGTAGAAAAAAATGCAAAAAAAATCGATAGATTTTCTAATTTCATTAATAAATACTAGGAACTAAAACAAAACAGAATACACAAGTTTCAAGTAGAAATTTTAACTTTCTTATGTGCAAAAAACATTTAATTTACCATCAGTGTACTGTCCCGAGTTCAGTATAAATTTTAGTGTTTATGTACGCCAAAAATGGTGACAATTATTTTGCATTACAAGTTGTGTAAAGGAGCATCTACAGCACTTTTAGTGCAATTGTTTTGCAGTGTCTTAAGTAATTCCCTGAGAACAAAAGCGTAATGAAAACTAATAGAATATGGTAAAATTTACACTGTTTCCTGCTCTATGAGAACACCAAATTGCTTGGTAATTTTTACCGAAGCGCTTTAGTATTGTTTTTGGTAAAAAAAAATATGATTCTGTAATGTGTGGTAAAATTTGTTAATTTTATCATGAGACCCTAGAGTAAGGGGTGAAAAATATTTATTAGGTTAAATTTACTTTTTAGCTTCATGTCTTTTTTTTTACTAAATGTGTGGTAATAAAAACTATAATTTTGAAAACTAGAATTTCTGTTAAACCGTTGCTACGTGCACGGAAAACATACCAAATAAATGGATTAAATACCGTATACTTAGATCCTATTTCACAGAATTTTCACCCCGTAAGGTTCTTTTATTAAAAAATAGCAATACACTTAAATATAAAAGAAATTGAGTGAGATGACTATTTTGCAAACATTTAGTTCTGCTATTATTTATCATATAGTATTTCGTAAATGCATATCCAAATTTTTAACCAATTTTGTAAAAAGGCTAAAACTGTTTGATCACAAATAATAAATTTGCAATTTTCTACTCTTGTAATTATATTTTGAAATNCAACAGGATAATGCACCATGTCATAAGGGTCGAATCGTCATGGATTGGTTCGAGGAACATTCCAGTGACTTTGAAGTCATGTCTTGGCCCCCAAATTCACCTGACCTTAATCCAATAGAGCATTTGCGGTCCTACTTGGAAAGCCAAATTCGTGCTGCCACGCTACCCCCTCGCAATTTGAGGGAATTGCAGGACCAGTTGGTGAGAGCTTGTTACCAGATACCTCAGACTACCTATCAGCACCTTGTGGAACCAATGCCATGGCGGGTGCTAGCAGTTTTGAGGGCTAAAGGTGGTCCTACATTTTATTAGTAGGGTGGTCACAATGTAATGGCTCTTTGGTGTAAGTTTTATCTCTAATCATATGCAATACAAATACATCTGATTTCAAACTGTGGATTGCTGTCAGTAAAGAATTGCATAAATATGAAAAAACATAGATGAAATAAAATGCAAAAATTTGTTTAAAAATATTTAAGTGAATCCTACAATGAAGAGGAATAAAATAAAAAGAATTTAAAATATTTAAGGGAAAAACACTTTATCTAAAGTTAACGTCAAATCGAATTTTCATTGACATAAGGCGTGTAGTTAAATCTTAACTAGAGTGCAATTCCTTTACACCAAAAGTAATGAAAAATTATGAAGTTCCAATTTTTTTCATCAGTCCTAACACACCATTATCTGTTGAGTTTTTTCACTATTTTTGATGCAATTGTTGCCAAAATTATTGGTATATAGTAACATTAAAATTATTTTACAATATAGAAAAGTTCTTTTTTAAAATTTTAATTGAATTTCGAGACTAAAAAGATCCCTTGAGAAAAATGTGTTGAATTCAGTATAAATTTTAGTGTTTCTGAACGCCAAAAATTGTGACAATTATTTTGCATTACAAGTTGTGTAAAGGAGCATCTATAGCACTTTTAGTGCAATTGTTTTACAGTGTCTTAAGTAATTCCCTGAGAACAAAAGCATGATGAAAACTAATAGAATATGGTAAAATTCACACTGTTTCTGACTCTATGAGAGCACCAAATTGCTTGGTAATTTTTACCGAACCGCTTTAGTATTGTTTTCGGTAAAATTAAAAACATAATATGATTTTATAATGTGTGGTAAAATTTGGTAATTTTATCATGAGACCCTAGAGTAAGGGGTCCAAATAAATGAATTAAATACCGTATACTTAGATCCTATTACACAGAATTTTCACCGCGTAAGATTCTTTTATTAAAAAATAGCAATGCACTTAAATATTTTGCAAACATTTAGTTCTGCTATTATTTGTCATATAGTATTTCGTAAATGCATATCCAAATTTTTAACCAATTTTGTAAAAAAGCTAAAACTGTTTGATCATAAATAATAATTTTGCAATTTTCTACTCCTGTAATTATATTTTGAAATTAAGTTAAATATTATTGTTATTTTAATAATGAAAACTAAACTTAGATTAAAAAATTTGCATTAAAACAGCTAATTTAATGAATTCTTTCATTTTTTTAATAAAAATCATTTCAACAAATATTTCCATGGTAAAAGAAATATGTTTCTAAATAGAGCTTTATAAAACTTCTTCATATTTAATTATTTTGCTCACATTAAAACTAGAACAATTAGTATTTGTTAGAATAATTGTTGTTCATATTTATTTTGTGCTGATTGCTTCTTCCTGCTTGAAAAGATGTATTTGTGTTTATAAAATAGAATAAAATAAACATTTATTAAATATTTAATAAAATTAAAACAAACGCTTAACTTAGAAATTAATTAAATATATGCATAATATTTGATTGAAACTTTGGTTGTCTAACAACAAATAAACAAAATTCTATATAATATGTAGAATTTCTGTGAAAGGTTGTTTTCTAATTATGATACTTCACTAATGTGCGCAACTATTTGCTTTCCGTGAAATATATCAAGCATTGATCATTATAGGCAAATTAAGTTATTATTTTTATTTGCTAAGTTCATCTTCTAATGAAAATTTATGTAGCTTACATCATGCATTGTACATCATGCATTGATTAAATAATATTTCTTTGAAAGCCCTTAGACTGAAAAATTAATAGTAAAGCTTGTGTATTGATATTTATTAATTAAAAATTCTCACTTTTAATGCGTGGATGATTTCTAAAAACAAAGTTAAATAATCGAAGTCAGCTTTTTTTTAAAATTTCCAACTCTCAACAGCCGACCCGATTCTGAGCTTAAGACTATCGATGCTTAACTCCGTCTCCTCTGAATTTTGAATTCAACCTATAAGACAAAGGAACTTTTGAATCAAGTATTTGGTCAAACTAGCCTTCGTGAAGAACTTTTTGACGGAGCTAACCCTCATTTGCGTTATACGGAGTTACATACGCTACTTGGATCTTATGCGTGATCCATCTCTCACTGAGGATAATTTACGTCAGCACTGTGGTAGACACTAGCTGGAAGCAAAATTCATACCAACCAGCTACCGCTGGGATACGAACCAGGGAACGCTCTATTCCTTGAGCTAACGTGGTTCCAAAGTTAACTTAAAGATTCTTTTTTCCAGTTTTGAAATATATAAGATCCAAATGCTACGATGTATTTACGCTTTTATATTATATTTTTCCCTTCCTTTATATTTTTGCTTCAATCACTTATCACGTGACTTTTGTTTATTCAAAATATAATATAAACAAGTATAAACAACTCAAAGTGCGCATCGAAAATCGCATTTCAATAAAATATGTTATCATGCTGATTTAGCACAAAATGGTAATTTATCTGAAAAAATGTACGCATAAAACTAATCATAAAACTAGTCATAAAATCATGATTTTCTGATTAATCCAGTTTCTTTTTTTACAATAGATTTAAATTTTTCACCAATAAGAATAACTGGAAGCATTGGTTGTTTAGAAAATTAAGCTTTCACCCTACACATTTCAGGTTTACTAGATAATAAGAACTGTAAATAGAACTGTAAAAACTGTACTGTAAGCAGGGGAGAGGAGGTACCTTTGAACATTTTAAACTTAATTCTTGAAATTAATAATATTGTTTAGATATAGAAATAAGCATGTATTTGTTCCTTAAATCAAGTTCAATCACTTTCGTAATTGCTGCTGCTGTTGCAAGGAAAGTGTTGCTTTTCACTCTTAAATCTATATAACTAAATAAGTGAAATTTTATCCTACATCTAAAATAAATTAATATTTAATGTTTTCACTATTTGATGAATATTGAATGATGATAACTGAAATTGCAATTTTAAATTATTACACCCATTTTATTAAACACTTACCTGCAACAGAGTTGTCATCGATAGAAATTTGCATGTGATTTATCACTTGCACATCCAAAAATACATAATTAAATCCATCAGAATATGTCAAAAAGTACTTAATGTAAAATTTTGTAATTAAAACACAGTTAAACAGATAAATTATAGATTGCAATTACTTAAAAAAATTTAAATACCTTGTTAATTTATTATTATTATTATTATTTTACAAAAATTAAACCTTGTATTGTAGGCTTTAAAACGAACAAATTTATGGATAGAAACACCATTCACTTGACTTTAGACTTTTAAAAAATATTGAACTTATTAGTGAAAGCAAAGCAGAAATACTATTGGCTTCCACTTATGTAAGAAATAGTAGGAAATATGAGGAGTGCAGTACTGAATTGTACTATAGTCACAAAACATCATTAAGATATGCCATACGCATAAAGAAAAGAACTTAAGACATGCTTATAAACCCACCGAGGAGCTTCTTTAATCTAAAATAAAAAAAGGGAGAATTAAACTTTTAAGAAATTTTAAAAGATTTTTTAACTTAGAAGTGTATTTAGCTTACTCAGAATATTTTCAGTTTCAGTTTTGTGTGTTCAAAGCACTGTTTAATTTAAATATTACATATTTGAAACAAGAAAAATAAGGATATTTCAAAAAATCGTTCAAGTGTGCCCTGTCTCTGTAATGTCTCTCAAACTTCTTACCAAATATTCTATTAAAATATTCTTACCAAAATGTCATTGACGTACCAACTTAAGTTGGCAGCTGGTTTTGATTTCGCAGATGAGCAATGAAGAGTGAGATTATCACCATATTCAGTTAATTCACCAGAAATTCGAGGGGAAGATTCTGGTGGAACTAAAATAAAAAAAAATCAAATGTATATATATATATATATATATATATATATATTTAACTCAAAATTCATTTATCGATGTGAAAAAGAGATTGGACAAAACAGGTTATCAAATCATTAATTTCANTATAAATAAATACAATCGTCATCTTATATTCTGTATATCATAAGAAAATTATGTACAAACGAAATTTCCTTACTGTTACAATATATATGGTATTACAGATTTACAGATATCTGTACTGACACATTTGTTTTCTTCTGTATTATATTTATCAACGCTGAAATATCGAAGATCATCTTTATATCGGTACACATGTTGCTTGGTTTTACATCTGTTCATCAAGATAAGTACGTTCATCGATAATAATCTGTATGTTTAAATTGTAACTTGTAATTGACTTCAATAATCCCCCGAATGTCCCTTACACGTGAGGGGTAGGGTTTAGCTATGCTACACCTCATACTTTTCTTCTTTATTTTAATTGGAATTTTCTAGATATTAGAGTAAGACTGATTTAACTAAATCTTCCAAGATAGCCAAGGGAAAGTTTCTATAAGTATTCATAGAATTGTGTGGGAAAAAAACCTGTAAAAACAAGTTTATATGATAAGTGTATAAAAACGAGTTTTTATAAAGTCCTAGTTATTACGAAGGATTATTTAATGTAAGATTGAAACGAATTTTAAAGAGCTCTTCATAGGAAAATTAATTATCAGATTTAAGTTCTGCAGTAATGACCACTTAAAAAGAATAACACTGTGTTTAATAATATTGAATATCGTTAAATACAAAGAAAAACTGAAATAAAAATAGATATTGCTGTTGCAGTTCAAGTTCTGCCCTCAGGATACTTTAAATTATGATTTAACAATAATTCAAAATATTTTAATTCACATTTTGGATTTTTAATTAGATTTAAATGACCTTTTTTTGTTAGTGCTTTGCGGATTTTTAAATTTCAATTTCAATTGAGAGATTTCCAGGAAAATTTACAAAGAAGTTGACGGTAATTGTGTAATGAGCAAATTTAATATTTTCATAAAAATGTACTGTCATCTGACAAGCCAATGAACATAAATACTAATTAGTCTAAAAGCTTGAGGCTGTGAAAAATAGAACAATCCTTACAAAAGAATACTAATCAAAATTTCAAGTACAATTTTCTGTATGAGAATGTCAGTTTCTTCTTTATTCTCGAAAGACCACAGAATTACGTTATTCGATGCCAAATTTTTAAAAACTAAACGCAAGGTGATCTTTAATTGCAGTCATTGAAAGGCATTTTTTAAATTTATTATTGTCTAACAGTTTTATACAGATAAATTTGAAACAATGCTGTTCGTTATTTAAGAGGACGCTATGCAGAAACTCTCTTTAAGCTACATAAAATAAATTATTTGAAGTGCAGGAAAGAGAATTCAGATAAATATAAAACAAACCATTCATGAAGTGTAAAATTGCTGAAAAGATTTCCAAAACATTAAAATGCAAACAAGAATTACTGCAAGTTAATTCCTATTATCCAATTTAACTGAAGTTCCCACGTTAAGGCATTCTCTCAAAAATACTTTAAATTTTAAACTGCTAAAAATATTTATTAAAAAAATAAAAAAAATAATAATAAACAGTTCCATCTATTTTCTAATATAATTCTTGTTTCAAAGTAATAAAATAAAATATTTTTAAAAATTATATTTTCTGGCATTGTCTCAAACATTGTTTTTAGCATAGTAAGTCGCTTGAATTAAAATCAACACTCATGTTGAAATATTGACGCAAAGCATAAAAGTTATGCTTCAAAGTTAACAAAATCCCTAGTTTTATGGTAATCTTTGACGGTTTCTTATTTAATGTCCATATTTTTAAGAAGTTTTAATACCACGAAAAATAGGTTTCAATTGAAAATATAAACTAAAGCTGTATGATTCAGAAATTGAATTTTCAAGTACAGTGGATTTATTGGTTAAATATTGACCTTAATCAGTCCTATCGCAAAACAGATATTATAAGATGGTCAGTTTCGTTTTATTTTTAAAAAATTGCAGATTATTTTAAAACAGATTATGAGCCATAGTTAAATCATATATGATATTTTCTTTTAGTTTCTGTATTCTATTTAGTATCTCTTCAAATTTATATGACAATTAGAGAAGACATAACATTCCTTAGCAATTAATAAAGAATATTATTAGTTTTTTTGTCATTTAATTTTTTAAGCAATTTATAGCTCATACAATAAATCAAAACTTATGTGTTTATTTTTAAATATACGGCACACCGAATTTCGTTAATGTATCAGTAAATACAATTCCTGTTGTAGCAAAAATAGTTAAAATTATGAAAAATTAGTTAAAATGGTTAGTTACAAGTATTATAAATTAGTCTTAGGAAAAGTGAAAATTACTGGCTTAAAATTATAATTTTTTAAAAAATAAAACGATAGTGTGAATGAAAAATGTCTTCAACAGTAAGATTTTCTAATCAAGAAATGCTTTTCATCAAAAAATATATATCTAATAAAATTTTCTACGTGAAAAGGAAAGAGAGGAAGTATTCAGCAATGAAACGACCCACGCTATTCTTAAAATAAATAACAAAAAATATATTTATGCCTTACTGCGATGACGCCGTATTTTCCTCATTCATAGGATTGTAAATGGAGTGTCTTAAACATGTTTTCAAATGGAGCCAGGAATATTTTTTGAATGACTGACTTAAAAATTTATAATAAAAATCTTATAACAATAAAGTGAAAAGGATGCATTGTTAGAAAATGTCCCAGTGGTTAATTTTTTTTTTCAGAACTGAAATATTGATTCAATTTAAATGTATTCCCTCCTACATATATTAAGCAAAAAAAAGCTAGAAAACAAATAGACTGTTGCATGCGTTCTCTTCATATATTGATAATTATGATGTGGGTGTAGCGATGCCTTTTAAAATTTAAATTATTTTACAGCAATCCTCCATAGTTCTATTTTGACTAAATACGAAGACATTTATCATGATCATTAACAGAATCTGTATTACTTTTAAAACAATTTTTTATGAGTAATTTTCTAAACTAATTGTAAAGTTAATGTGTTTGTTAACTATAAGTTTGTATTATTTTTGTCACGTGTTTGTTTGCTATATACACTGCATAAAAAAGTATGGTTAAAAGTATCAAAATATGGCAAAATTTATAGTTTCTGCTTCTATAGGAGTACCAGAACAGCTCGGTATTTTTTACCTGAGAGATTTGTTAATGATTTTGATAAAATTAATAATAATAATATATATTTATATTTATAATAAGCTATAAGACTTGCAAAATGAGGTTTCAGGTAATTTTATGATGATACCTTAGAACATAGCATGAAGGAAAATTATTTGTTTCATTTTATTTTTCAATTTTGTATTTTTTACCAAATGTGCTGTTATAAAAACCATAATTTAGAAAAAACAGAAGTTTAGGAGAAACCGTTACTATATAAATGAAAAAAATTACCAAATGAATAGTTTAAATATCGTATATTTTGGTTTTATTGACCAAAATTATGGTTTGTTTAGCCAGAATTGTCCTTACTATACAGTTGCTAATTCTACCAAACTTTTTTCTCTGTGTACAATCAAACAATGTTTGAATGAGCAGCAAATTTTATTAAAATCATTGTTTGGCACATAACCAGTAAATAAAATACATTTTTGTTCAGAAAAAGTGACAAAAAACTGAATTTTCAACTCGATAACTATTATTATTAATTAAGATCTTGGTTAAATTTTTAATTAGAATATTAATTAAGATATTAATAAAATATTAATGAGATATTAATTAAAAATTAATTGAATATTAATTAATTATAATATCGTGAAGATACTTACTGTATACAACCACATCTCTGTGGACTTGAACACATCCAAAGTAAGGCTCGTCAGCTGATACTTGGCAAGTGTATTGTCCTTCACTTTTCAATGATAGATTTCTCAACTGTACAGTATTTGGCGATAATTTTGATAGCTATATATTCAATAAATACATTATCATTCAATAAAAGTTTTTAGTAGAAAGCAATGAATAAATTTTACTATCCTTCCATGTCAATGTGGAGAGACATTTAATAATTATAACTTATACATTTCTTATGAATATGAATATTTTTTTACGCATTGTAGTTTGGTACTAAGATAAGTCTGGCATCATTACATATTTATTAAGTGTTTTTTGGACAAATATGTTAATTAATTTCTTAGCGTCACTGTTGTAACAAAATCATAAAATAGGTTTTTGATAGACTTTGATAGATGATTATGAATAAAAGTAAATGTAACAGATTTTACTTTGCGTCATTACATTAAATAAATAAATAAATAAAACGTGCAAATCTTATTAAAATTCAGATATTTCTATTTGATTTAGAAAAAATTAGTACCTCAAATACAAACCTTGATAGCTAATTTCGTATGTAAAATGTGGTAATGGAGAAAATGTGATGTGCAGTGTGCAAAAAAAAGAAGAAAAAATCACCCTGAATAACTTTTGATCTAATGATCGGATCGTCACGTTCTAGGACTCAATCTCAGTGGCTCGAGGGAGTGGCATGACCTTTTCCTATCTCAGCATGAATTTACATTGTATTTTGATGCTATTATGTGAATCAGTTAATCATCTATACGCAATCTGCACTCCTTTTTTTTGGCAATTACGAGAACGAACTGCAACTGAACCGAAAACAACTTCACCAAGAGATTGTTTACAGACAATACATAATATTAAAACATTAGAGAATGGTTTTGCCATTAATATTGTCTGTCCAACCCTATTCGGCGAGTTCATTTTCATTTAAGGGTCCCTTATAGCTCTTAAACTTTGTCAGGACTGCACAAACATTCGAAAGAATGTTACACTAGTTAAAAAATATTTGTCTAATATATTGAATTAGTTCTATTTTCCATTAAAATGTTGTGTATACTATAAGTTTGCAGATTTGATTCTTATTGGAAGAGATGATCCTGGACGAATTAGAAAAATCTATATTAATATTGACGAGCATATTATTAATTATTTCCATATAAATAACGCTTAATTTTTTGTTATCGAAAAAAGGTACTTGTTTATATATAATTAAAAATAAAAAATGAAAAATCAAGCAACAAAAAAGTCAAACAAAAAAAAAGTTAAATGAAATATGAATAAGTAGGAATTCGTTATTTCGTGAATTCATGTTACTTAATTCATGTTAATTAAATAACATGAATACCTTTTAATCTAAATTTATTCGAAGATTAAATTGCAGAATAGTTCATGTTTGATATAGTTGAATTTAAAAAATTATAGCTTACCTAATTTTCAGTTAAATTTTATTCATTTCGCAAACATTAATAAAAAAAATTTCTTCTTAGAAAATTGTTAAAAAATTATTAAAACTTTAGTTAACTATTACTTTGTTATTCCGTTGGTAGTTCATGACTAGGTTCGTCAAGTTCTCTAATATATTTGGTAATTAGTCTATAATAAATTATTTTAAAAATTGTTTTTTAGAAAATCTTCCTAATATTTCTTAGTTTAAGTAATTTCAAAACTCATTATTATTCAGATTGATTAATGCTTTTACTTATTTTCAAAATAAAATGTTATTTATGCAATGGCATAAATTATTATTGATAGCTGAAAAGACAGTTTTAATAACAATTTTTAAACTATTACAAAGACAAGCATTTCGAATCATTAGCGCTAATTTATATTCTGTTTGATGAAAATTATTTGTACAGATTTGAACAAACGATTTCTATATCTTTTAAAAGATTAACGGATTTTTTGTATTCCTCAAGATATGATTCTTAACACTAATTCCTAATAATTTTGAAATAAAATATTTGCTCACATAATACAGCATAATTGTACAGCAAACTACAAAATCTGATATGACTTTAAAAATCAGGAATAGCATAATTGGAATTTCTAATCAAAATATATATCGCAGTGGATGCATATTCTTTAAAAATAGGCAAATAAATGCTAATTAGTCTATAATTTATTCTATTTAATTCATCTCTTTCCATAACAATCTTATAATTGAAGCACATTAATAGAAAAAGTTATTATTAATCTTAATAATAAGTCTGATAAATCTAATTAGTTAATTTTCTAAGCATTTGTATTCAAAAATTTTAAGACATTATGAAAAATTATGGTAGGCAATTTATTTAATCCACTTAACTGATTATATCTAACTAATACGAAATGAGACTTGAATGCTTTGTTCCTTTGATAAGACTTAATGAAAAATAAGGAATTAAAACTATTCTGAGAATCAGAGAATTAATTTAATAAGGAATTATTGGAAAAAGTTTTCTTGATATCTTGTTTGCTTGTGTCATTAAAAAAAAGTCAAATTGTATAAGAAAGAGTTAAAAAAAACTCAAATAAAATGGGAAACATTTATTTTCAAGATTCTAGATAATTGTTTTGTGTTAAGGTGATTTATATTACACCATCCAAAGTACATTAATAAACTTTCCGAGCTTGCATATTGATAGCTCTTTCAAAATGAAAAATTTAAATGAAGTAATTTGTTTTTTCTTCTTTCTATCATTTATAAAAAGTTTAAACTGCCACACAGCCTAAAGATAAAGTGAACTGATAAGGATAAAAAAAATGAGAAAAATGTTTTGTAGTTAGGATAAATTCAGTTAGAATTTTGACAATTTGGAGAATGCAGTTAAATTTCAAAAATAGCAATGAATGAATGAAATTATTAATTAAGGTAAATTTTATGTCAACAATAGGTACCCAGTTATATTGCTTTTAGACATATTTAAATTTTCTTGGTTAACGTTTCTCATTGAGCGCTTTGAGTTGTGGGTTATTTTTTCTGAAAAAATCCAAGCATTTTAGGAAAACCTTTTCTTTTAAAAAATATATTTCTTATAATGGAAATAGTTGCATTTAGTTTTATCAAACTTGATGAGCAGAATTTTGTATTTTAAGAATTTTCTGAAATATACAAACGACAGTATGAGTCATTGAGCTCTTTATTTTCTTTTCATTTTCCTGTGTTCTTGTACTGCAAAAAACTAAGTAATTTAGGAAATACCTTTTTATGAAAAAATTTGTTTCTTAAACTGGAAGTAGTTGAATTTAGTTTTAGTATACCTAATGAACATCACTACTAATTTTGCATTTTCAAGATTTTCTGAAATAAACACCGATAGTCTTATCCCATACATCATGTGCTACTAATATCACTATATGTAAATAATAACAGACGCAGGAAAGTTTAATAAACAATTAATAAACCAATATCATAGCACCTATCTTTCTGAACACGCATGACGTGGAAACCGTGAAATTTAAGTTATTTAATATGTTAAGCTATCAAAAATGGTAAAATTGACAGAGTGAAAAAACTTCTAATTGTTTTAACTAATTTTGCATTTTAATGATTTTTTTAAAAGAAACAAACTACAGTCTTATTCCATAACATCTAGTGCTACTAATATTATTATATGTAAATATTAATTAATGTCAGGCAAATTTAATAAACAATTAACAAGCCGATATCATAGCAACAGCACCTATCTTTCTGACAGGCATAACGAGGGAAACGGGAAATTTAAATTATTTAGTATGCTAAACTATCAAAAATGGTAAAATGAATAGAGTCTGAACGGAAAGCAATTAATCTCCGTCTATCACATTCAACTATGAATTTAAACTATGGTTTTCGAAATAACGAAATGTTGTGCGCTCAGTCTTGCTAGATAGTGATTTTCGGAAGGGATTACTAAGTTTGCTTACATTAAAGTATAAAATAAAACAGCAAACAACTACAAGGAATAACACCTGTATCAAATTATATATACTTGTAGTCTTTTCAGTGGGAATATTTTTAAAAAAAATGGATAACAAATAGCAAATTTGTGCGATTATTTATCGAACTATTATTACAAAATATCAGTATTAGTTACAGTTGGATGTTTGCATTTGACGTCATCGTAGCTAAATCACGACATTTGTGTCAATCAGAAGCTAATCAGATTTGACACAAACATGTGATGTTGCTTACAGGTATAGAATTAGACTTGATTTAAATCACATGGTAAGATATAATCATTTCACTTTTTCTCGAGATGAAAGTACTCACTTACACGTAGCTTATATTATTCGCGATCGCAACGAACTGTAGGAGGCGTTGTTGTATGAGACTAATACCTGCGATTTCGATATGAACAGTCATTCATTTACTCTGGAGACGTCTTTAATGTAGTAACATTGTAACGTTCCTTCCTCATCGTGGCTTATTAAATTTAAAAAAGAAAAACGTTTGATATCCCTTTTGTTAAGTGAAAACAAAATGGTATCTCCTTTTATTAGAGAAGGAATATCCAAAACACATCGGAAAAATATTTGTACATTAACAGAAAAAAATATGCATATTCTTATAAGAGTTAAAACCTAATGCCCAAGAAATAATTTTACTGAATTTAATGATGTAACATAAAAGGCCTATTTAAACTCTACATTCCATAGTTTTAAGAATCATATTACTTCAAAAATTAAAATGAACAAGGAGTATACATAAGCCTCATAATTTTATGAGATTTAATTTTGTGTAAAAAAAGTTTCCTGACAACAATTTTTATCAAAAAATTTCAAGTTTCAATAAAAATCATTATTTAGAAACTAAAAAACGTAAAATAAAGAATTCTGACGAAAGAAAAACAAAAAAACAATTCTTTTTTCTCGCCTTTTTTAGTGCTACGAAAATTCGTCTTTGAGATTTGCCAAAAACAAAACAAGATGCAATTTTATTTTTTCAGGAGGGAAATATTTTACCGAAAAAACGAAAATGTACCAATTCCCACAACATGAAACTTTATCTTGGTAAACGTACGTTTTGGAAATGTTATTTCATTTGGAATCTTATTTATCAGAGTTCATATGGCGATATGATTGTTTTGAATCTATGATAAACTCTATATCGGCCATTTTCCACCGAAATCCGATTGACTACTTTG